GTGCAGCCGTTTTTGTGCTACGGTTGACCAAAAATCACTGAAAAAAAAAGTAAAAATAAAAGTACGAAAACAATATGACTCCCGCTTACGCTTCGCGTGCAGGGGTCATAATAAGGAGGCGAGGTAAAGAGTAAAGAGATACGTACAACGTGAAACAGTTCATTCCCGACATTGTGAACAGGTTCTGAATGTTGTAAATAAAATAATTTTAAACCAATATTATTTGTGTGAAACATTTTTCCACATTATTGCAGGGTACTGTTTAAGAAAGAGTCCAATGTTTCTCCAGCTAGCAGAAGTTGTGTACATATCAATACAATATACGGAATACCTTCAAACTATTATTTATTATAAAACAGTAATAGAATGTTTAAGAACATTAGCTTGAACATAAAAAAGCATAAATAACTAAAACGAACTTTAACAACATGTACATTTAAGACACAACTATTAGAAAAATTAATCAAACATTTGAGTAAAATGTTTATTTGAAATAGATATTTTTGTTTTTTCTTTATTTGTGTTTCTTAAATGATTTACATTTATTTTTTCCCAATAGTCATTTTATTTCCATGTGTTACTTTTACATTTCTCTGTCTCCTATTTTAACTTTACCTTACTCATTACTGCTTCATTGTGTAAAAAGGTGGGCAGTCCTTATTGGGTCAGCTACTCTTCTATTGGTCAACAGACAGGAAGGAGCAGAATTCAAGTGCACATCTACTGTGCCTCAATTTACCTTAAAGTTTAGTTTAAATGTAAGCCAAGGTGTAAAACACTTATCTGTGCCATTGGTTTAAACTAAACTTTAAGGTAAATTGAGGCACAGTAGATGTGCNGATAGATAGATAGATAGATAGATAGATAGATAGATAGATAGATAGATAGATAGATAGATAGATAGATAGATAGATAGATAGATATTAGAGCACTTTTGTTGCCAGTGGAATAGCTGCAAATTGATTTTTGTGTAGTTTTGGCTTTTGACCACACGGTGGCGCCAAAGCCTTAAAGATGTTTTTGTCCAGTCTTGTCAGCCACAGAAAAACCTATAACTTTTTTACACCCATGAGTTTGACCTTTTGTTGTGTCTTCCTGCTTGGTCACCACCTCTCCAAAATKAAACCATCATTTATCAGCTTTTCTGTTTTCAGTATGATAACTAAACAGCTCTGTTTACAAAGTTGTTTTTGAAAATTTTAATAAATTTAATCGGAAACAGGAAGTGGGGACGTTCTGTTTATATTATTTATTCATGGTAAAAGCTACCTCTTGACAGATGAGTAGCTATTTAGACACATGTCTGATAATCCAGTTTAAAAGCCAACGGATAAGAATGTGTTTCCATTTGCACGATTAAAGGGTTAAAAAAAACTTGGACACGTTGCTTAAAAAAAAGGAGCGAAAAGCTGTGACATCAAGCATCTTGGTTGTTTCTTAAAAGGAGAGAGTGAGAGCACAGAGGCAGATCTCCAGGTCCTGACGCTCTGAACGGATGCGCGCTGATCTTGGAGTCTCCAGGCGCGCAGCGGAGGATTTTGCGCACTGAAACCAAGTGGAGCCGATGAGCGGGCTGTTGTCTCTGACTGACTGCAGTCTTCTTACTGGGATGCGGGCTTACTCGGCTGCACGTTGCTGTGCACAACTCACTGCTTAAGCGGAATAAAGAGGAAGGGTGGGGAAAAACAGTTTAATTCCGTTTTGGTGGAAACTTAGAGGAGCGCTGCTGTTTACGTCCCAGCTTCTCAGTGGAGACCCAAACATTCCGACAAAAGGAGACATTTTGAGAGGATTGAGGAACTCTTGATGATTCCAGCGTGAGGTATTGTTGCTTTTGCAGAACAGTAAGGAAAAGTTCACGACTTTAATAAACCCGTAAGAAGAAAACGCAGGGTTCCAATGAGGCTCTCGGTGCTTTTAATACCTAAATGTTTCCACTGTCTTTTCCTCCCCCTGCAGGTGAGCTCAGCGATGCTTCAGCGGAACGCGCGTCTCCCCCTCTCCAAGTCTTCCAGAGAGGATTTACCCGCCGCGCATCGTGAATAAACTCAGAAGCTCCTGAAGATGAGTCCCCTGCCAACCTTCCTGCTGCTTGTTCTCCTTCACCAGGTGAGCAGGTTCCTCTCATTAAGTTGGAACTTATTGTAAAACTTCATTAGATTTTTTTTTGAGGGGGAGCATTTTGCCATTATTTATGTTATTGAAGCTCTGTTCATTTTATCACCCTGAATACATTAGATCTTAAGTGAGTTTTATATCTTTCTTTGTAATATTATTTATTTTATTCTTAAAGTCAAAGTCTGACTTTGTGACATTTCTGTAAATATGTCTTTTCTTTATRTATTTCCAGTTATAGAATAGACATGATTTCTTGCAGCATAAAAAATGCATTAAGTCCAGAAGACTGTGTTTTAGTTTGCATATTGTAGCTTATGTTGTAGGTGTAATTTTAATATTTTAAACAACCTACCTTAACAGCAGCTCAACATATTGCTGGCTATTACTTTCTTTTCACATTAAATTTAAATTTACTGGGTCTGATGTCAGATCTGACATTAGTGTTGCAGAGAAAAAAGAATTATGAATATTAAAAAATATGCAGCTCTTTACTTTACTTGATGGCTGAGTTTAGGAGGTTGTTATGATGACAGTGTTGTGACTTTTATTACATTATGAACTTGGGGGTGTTCGCTTGCTTTTAGTTCAACATCAACATACTTTRTTAAATAAAATCATTTAATCATTTAAATTACTCCGGGGTGAATGTTTTGGTAAGTATGTTTGCCATGCTTAGAAAAACTTAATAATGAGCAACTTAAAAATGACATATTCACCAATAATAAAGAAAAAAAAATCAGGTGCCTACTAATTTTAAAAGCCTACATTCCTGTGAGTATAAAAAAGATGCTGCCTGCAGAAAATGACTGTCTTAAGCTTTTAGACATAATCTTCCTTTAGTGTAATTGTAGTTGCATTGCAGTATAAGCTCTTTAAAGAAAAATCAGATCCTTGGGGAAATTTGTCTTTTTTTCACTTTGATCAACATCCACTAATGTTGTTGTCTATTTTTTCTTGATACATTGTTGTTTTTTATCACRTTTATCCTTTTTTAATCAGACTTGAGCAGAAAATGCCATCTGACTGAAGAAGTTCTTCACATCTGTGCTCAATCCTCAAAGAGGACTTCTTTAGAGATAGCCTTGAACTGTGCAGCTGCAGCTGCAGCAGCAGCAGCAGCAGCAGCAGCAGCGACGTGTTGTCTGTTCTGTTCTGTTCTAATCAGCTCTGAGCCTTTTGGGAGCTGCGCCTCCAGAGAGAAAGAGGCTGGCTGCCTCCCTGGGGAGGTTCTCTCTTTATATGCCTCGATGGCTTTGGTCCCAGCACACCCACCAGTGCCTGACTGGGGACATATCAGCCTTTTTTATCAATAAGCTAAAACATGTGTGTTCAGTGCTTTAAAAAGCTTTAAACGGGTAAAGAAAATGTCTTCAGCGTCAGACTATTTTATTAGTTTAGGAGCTTCTGAAAGGATGTAAAGACGACATCAAACAAAGTTCAGAAGACTCGTTTAAAACCTGCTTTTCTATGGAGGCACCTGGAGGCTGCAGGCCAACWGAATTCGAGCCAAACCTCTCCAGATCCACTTCTCCTCCACGTTTAGGCTACAAGAAAGAGGTGCGCGACTCAAGTGGTGAAAGTAAAACTCCAGCCTGGAGCATCTGTGCAACCTGCCCCCCCCCCCCAGGGGGCAAAAAATAGGGTCAGGAGCCATCCTGGGAGACTCTTTGCTACCTTCTGGCATCTGCTGCAGTGATCCTCTGTGCAGCAGAACAATGTTGATGAAGAGGAAGCATCTCCCTTCCTGCTCGTCCTTCCCTGAATCATCTCCCACTGATAGTGTGTGTGTGTGTGTTGGGGGGGGGGGGGGGGGCTTTTCAACTTCGCCTGGGATTAAATATGAGAAGACATTGACAAAGACTATTAAGTCTTTTGTGCCTTCTTGCCAGGGCATGAGCTTATTGGTAACATTATGTCACAAAAAAGCACTGATTCGATGGGATCATCAGCAGAGTTAAATGTATAGAAACAGTCTTCGGGGCTAAAGCTGCACCCCCCTCCGGTGTTGGACTGGGTTTATGATCTTATTGGGAGGGTGTGGCGCAGTGTGTGAGCCTAAGCTGAGCTGGTTACCAGACGGAGTGTGTTTTTTTTTTTCCTGTGGTCGGGATCAAGCCGTGCTCAGAGTTCATCCGTGGAACTTTGAGGTGCAGTGATTTGCAGGATTACAAGTGATTTCTTGAAGGACTTGGCCTCAGCTTTCAACTTTTATAACACAGACTTGCACGATTGTCCACGTGCAAATAAGGAGGGAGCGAGAAATTAAGAACAGCAAAATTTACCACTCAGATTTTCTGTTAAATTCAGACATTAAGTCATTTTTTTTTCTCAGTATTTTCTCTCCGCAGTGGCAGATTGGGACCTGAAGGCTCCTTCCCAAAGTCAGAAGCAGCTCTGGCAAGGACGACGCTTTTATCCCCCCCCTCTTCATAACAAATCAGAAATTCTACACAAATTCCCTCTCAGAGGACCTTTTAACCCTCTTCCCCTTCCTCATGCTCAATTAGGTTGGGTTTTATTGTTTATTTATTTTATATTTAAAGTCAACTAACACTGGGAAGTGTAATAAAATGTACAGTTGTGGGGATTAGGAGCAGCTCTTTAATCTCACGTTCCTGATAATGCTGCATGGGCTGATTGATTAGTTTTTCAGGAAGCTTATGTCAGAAAAACCTAATCCGTCTTTGGATTGTGCCAGCCTTGTAAGGTTTTCCGCGCTGCCACTTTATCATGGTGGCGAATTACAGAGCTGCTGGGCTGTGATAAGGTCCTCGTCTCTTTTACAGACCCCACCGCCCAATCCCTTTTTTGCGCACCCCGCCCCTCCTTTCCCTCTGGACAATAAAAAAAAAATGTGTTTATATTCTTCACATTCCTGCTCTGCTCTGGTCTTCACATCAACCTCTCCCAGGATTTGCCTTGTAAGAAAGAAAGAGGGGAAGGAAAAAAAAGTGTGGAACTTAAGTCGTCAAAAAGCTACCAGAAAAACCGGGTGGGGGGAGAGAGTAAAATGGCAGACCGGGCCGGAGAAAATTTCTGTGGAAGTGATTAAAACACGGATTGACAAGAGTGAAGAGGGCATGTATGCATGCTTCCAGGAYGCCTTTTTTTCCGGCGCTTACACGGTGCTGATGTGTATCTCTGCTCATATTGGGGTCACAATCTTTCCAGGCAGAAGGCTCGGCGAGATAATCCCTCATAAACAATACTGTCTGTGGCATTTGCCGTCCTCGGCTCACTCGTCGTCGCACACCTCTGAAGGAAAAGGTTGACGTATTTAAGGCCGAAATCCCTCAAACGCCRCTCACAGCCACTACAAGTTCGTTTGACCGAACGGGTTCCAACAAGTTATTCCTTTTCCAATAAGAAGCGTGTTGGCCATAAATCCTTGATAAAGGTCCTGAGAAACTCCAAATGATTGATAACTGTGACACAGCTGCCCTTTGTGTTGACAAAAGCCTTAATCTGAAAACTGGAAGGCCCATTAAAGAATTTAGTCAAATAGCTGTTAACGGCGTGATTATTCTGACCACGCCGCTGATGTTCAGGTTGAACTTTAAGCCGGAGTYGTCCTCATGCCTGCGGTGTCGGTGCAGGAAACATTATGCTAAATATGTTGTTGGGTTTCCCGATCTCAGTCCACAGCTATGAATTTTTATGGGCGTTGCGCAACCCAAGGCGCCGTTGGATCTGGAGCCTCTGCTGCCTTATAGCGCTGTCATTACCGCTCTGCGATGGCAGAAACACACAGCGTCCTCTGACGCACAGCCTCACCGTTTAACAGACTATTGGATGCATTTGTTTCCTGCAGTGCTGCAACTAAACCGAACCCTGTGTATGTTCAGCTTAGATTTTTTTTAATTGCAATTAAAGTTCTCCAGAAGTAGAAAATTGCAGTCACTCAAATTATTACAATGAAACAAGCACTTTGTGCTTTTTTTTTTTACATGTTGACGTGCAAAGTTTTTAATTTCCACCTGGTTAGGTTGTGGAGAAGGCAATCACACCACATGTCAGAGCTCAGGAAAAAATGATTGACCTCTTTAATTAAAACTGCATGGCTTTCCTGTAAAAGCCAAGGTGTGACAGCTTCAGAATAAGTACAATAAATCTCCACTCTGATTATTCTCCGTTTTGCATTTCCCCCCCTGCCTCGGAGCTTTGAGGCCCCCAATTTTTTTTTACAGCTTGTCATTTTCAGCCCTAACAAAGCGCTGTCAGCTTTCGCAGCGTCTTTGTGTATTTCTTGTGATGTACCTGTCTTCAGAGCGTCTCGGAGAAAAAGAGTCTTGCCAGCCCTTGTTTCTTCTTCAAAGGGCGCCGGTTCTCTGAAATCAGACGCGGCGCAATCAGCTTTGTGAACAGAAACATTTGCTCTGTCGAATTCAGCTGACGTATGTTTGAACAAATCAAACAAAACATTTTTATATATTTATATATAAATAAGTCTTATTAATTCCAGCACAGATGTGAATAGAAAATACCCAATAGTGACACAAACTGCGTGAGTGCCATTTAGAGCCCATTATAGAGGCAAAACCTAAAAAGCTAAATCTTGAAGTTTTTCTTTAACATGCTTCCTTTTATATTAGCTGAATAGTTTTACAAAGGCATTACGCATTGTGGGAAGGTGTTAAAACTGGTCAAGAGATAATTACACTGAGTCCAACATGCTTTTAAGCCTTATCCTTTCCAATCCCTGCTATCAGGAATCCGGGGTGTGCAGCAGGTGTCAGGAGCCAGGAGTTGCAGTTTTGACCATGTAAGGGGATTATGAAAGTGATGATGCGCTGAAAGGTAACGCCCGCCTAAAAGTGAAGTGTCGAGAGCTTTACCGCCGCCGTCCGTGGCAGGTGCTGAGATAACGCCAGCATCCACGTTACCTGGAGGCTCTCTCATCCCGCTGGTCTCGTCTCCTGGTGGGATCTTTGTTAACACTTTCCAAACAGCCGGCGGCAACGCTACATTTGAATTCTGACACTCGGAGCCAC